CTGGGCTGAAGTATTAGAAGGCCTGGCTTTGCTGACTAAGTTGAGGTTCACAGAGGGACATGTAACCTGGTTATTAAACTGATGATGTTACCTAGTTGGGTCATGAAATGTCTGCAAGAAAACCACCCAGCTCAGAGAGCATCAAGGACCCCACAGTCCTCTTCCTCCTCCTCCTCCTCCTCCTCCTCCTCCTCCTCCTCCTCCTTCTCCATCTCCTCCTCCTCCTCCCTTCTAGCATTGATGATGTTCCCTAGTTGGTCATGAAATGTCTGCAAGAAAACCATCCAGCTTAAAGAGCCCCAAGGACCCCACAGTAGTCATCATCTTCTTCTTCTTCTTCTTCTTCTTCTTCTTCTTCTTCTTCTTCTTCTTCTTCTTCTTCTTCTTCTTCTTCTTCTTCTTCTTCTTCTTCTTCTTCTTCTTCTTCTTCTTCTTCTTCTTTTCTTCTTCTTCTTCTCTTCTTCTCCTCCTCCTCCTCCTCCTCCTCCTCCTCGCAACTCCCTCCTCCATTGTAGCATTGATGATGTTACTTAGTTGGGTCATGAAACATCTGCAAGAGAACCACCCAGCTCAGAGAGCATCAAGGACTCCACAGTTCTCCTCCTCCTCCACCTCCTCCTCCTCCTCCTCCTCCTCCTCCTCCTCCTCCTGTCACATGACCTTGCTTTGTAACGAGCCATTCTTTTAGGGCTTTGGGGAAAATGGCAGTCACAGCAAACCTTTGATTCATTTCACGAGCGTGACAGCTGCTTTGCAACTGTCAAGAGTTATGACCGTGATGACCAGGCTCTCTTACGGTGATAAGCCGAGAATCACTTATAACACATTTGGATAAAAAATAAATAAATTACAGGGAGTCCTTGACTTACCACAGTTCGTTTAGTGACCACCTGAAGTTACGATGGCACCAAAAAAAGGGACTTATGACCATTTTCCCACCCTTACGACCGTTGCAGCATCCCCACGGTCAGGGGATTCAAATTCAGACGCTCGGCAACTGACTCGTGTTTACGACGGTCGCAGCGTCTCCGGGGGTGTCACGCGATCCCGTTTTGCGACCTTCTGACGGGCCAAGTCAATGGGGGGAAGCCAGATCCACTTAACAACCATGTTACTAATTGAACAACTGCAGCAAGAATGAGCCAAAACTCACTTAACAAATTTCTCCCTTAGCAACATAAATTCTGGCCTCTCTTGTCGTCGTAAGGCGAGGACTCCCTATAATTCTCCCAGTGATTCCTTCTCTCTCTCTCTCTCTCTCTCTCTCTCTCTCTCTCTCTC